CCAAGCCTGCTCTGCATTTTCTTTGGAGCCATGCTGATAAGCACACCAAACACCTTCCAAATGCCACAAAACACACCACAAGCCTCACCTAACATCTCCTTGCTACCGCGATCTCGCCCACAGGAAGCTGCGACCGCATGGCAGCAGGGAAAATGGCCACGGATCCAGTTCGTAACTCGAGACGGAGTTTGCAAGTCGAGGTAAATTTTTGGGGCCGGAGCTGGTTGTATCTTGAAAAATTTGTAAGGCGTTTGTAACTCGAGGTACCACTGTATTTAGTTCTTGTAAATAAACAAGTTATTTTTCCTTCATATGAAGAAATATTTTTCTTAATTATATAAAGAACAAAAACCAACCTCCTTACTCCAAATCAAGTTTACAGGATGGTGCTTAAAACATTTCTATATATTAAAAACAAAATCCTTTCAGTTTATTTTTCTTTAAGGAAACAAACATGGGAAAAAACTGGGGAAGGCAAGTTGCCAACTTTAAAAAATGTATATATTTTTTAAAAGTTATATGTTTTTCTAGCCACAGGGTGGTGTCCAATAAGATACAGTGTTCTGTCTTTTATAGATTTAAGTAGAAAATTGTCCTTGATAAAAAGAGTTAGCCAATCTGAACGAATCAGAATGTGGCTGTTTGAATGGGGCTTCCACAGATGGTTTCTTCTGGTTCCCTCAAAGCTTTTTCATGCAAGTATTTTAAGTGCTGAATTCATCCGGTTTAAGGGATTCAGTGGATATTTACCACCATCCTCCTGAGTTTTACAAAGTTTTGTGTGGACATAAAGGTAAAAAAAAAAAACAATGGCGTAGAAATAACAATCTGTGTCATCCAATAAAAGTGTGTGACATTTAAAGACTGAGGAAGTGCAAATATTCCATTTACCCACTTTTGCATAGCAAAACGCTTCCCACACTCAAGGGATAAGGAACATAGTTTGGAGGGTAGCCATAGCTGCTGTCAATATTATTGTTATTATTAATTCTAAAACACAGCCCTGATATGGAACTTGCTCCTAGAAACCTACGCCTGGATTGGTTGTGACATTAATTCTACATTTAAAAATGACCCACAAGCATCTCTCAAATCAATACTGTTTTGAGCCCTGAAAAGTATTGATTGGTGCCATTATCAAGACTAGTTGAGACATTTTTGTTTTTCGAGGCTCATTCTGCAACCCACTCGGAGCTGTGAGTCATCCCCTTTAGATTTCCAAGCAGAGAAAAACCAGAAAGGGGAAACAAAGAACCTTGAAGGAATCTCAAGAGAGAAATACAGAGAATCAAATTTTCTTGGGGAGCGAAAATAATAAAAGAAATCAGGTATAATTGCAAACGGCAAGCAGAAAATGTTTCTTCTCTTTACTCATATCGTTTATACAGCTGTGTACTGCAGAATACATTGAAATTACAATCAGTTCTTCCAAATAAGCTATTGAACTACATGTTTCCTTCAAAATTATGACAGTATAATTTTGGGGATGAATTTGACATTGTTCCCAGCCTTTTTTTATTCTGCCTGTGCTTCTGGTTATCCCTTTTTATTCATTTTTCCCCCCACGCAGATGTGAGGGTTTATTTATTTATTTAGAGATTTCTGTATCTTGCTACTTTACTCCTTTGAACGTCAGACAGCTAAGCCATAACCTAAAAAGTTCAGGTCCAGAAAACTGTTGCTGGGTTTAGGCATGTACCTTCGAACACTGACACTTGTAAAAAAGAAAAAATGATAATGTTTGACAGTATAAAAGCTATCACTTTGTATTAGGACACAATGGCAGTAGGTAGGACAACCAGATCTGGTCCATAAAAATCTGGATGAGCTCTAGATGGCTAAAAGCTAAAAAGACTTAGTTCTTTTACATATCTCTTTGGGCTATCCAATGGCTTCTGGATTTTTGCAGACCTAGACCCAGATTAGGGATATCTTATGTATTCATTGCTGCAAATATGAGGCTGCCTGCACATTGCAGGTGATCAGATTTACTATATGAATCAAGTGCTTGGAAGTGGTTGTCAGATCCACAATCAGGGACATCCATGGGAAGGTGATAAAAGTCACGTTGGTGGCCATGACTGTGTGATGGAAGCCATAGCCCTTTTAATTGTGCAGTTGCATGTAAAAAAGGAGCAGGGATTACATCATGCAGTAGCCCCACCATCTTGACTTTTCTGGCTTTCCTGTGGATACCCGTGCCCGCAATTTACACATTCTTTTTTTAGGTGCACAGTAAAATGCCTTTTAATATAACCCATGACTTGAGTAGAAATTAGCTATTAACAAGCTCAGATGAGGGCTATTAGTCCAGTTGCTAATCTAGCAAAGGCTGAGGTGATGGATGGTCAAAGTATAGTCCTACAGGGTTGCTGAACTCCAGCACCTACTGAGTATAGCTAATGTAGCCAATGCTGAGGAACAACAAAAATTGTGATTCAGCTACTCCTAGAAGGCTACACATTGTCCATTCGTGATCCAGAAGAGGAAAACCTGCTTCTTCTGCCCTGTACCCTCTCCTTGTTCCCTCCAGCACTTTTTGCCTGATTTTGGAAACACATTCAGGGGCTATCATCCTATAGGCCTTACTCAGAGGGAATCACACACTGAGGTGGCCAAAGCAGTTGCCTGTGTAGGAAGACACCACATCCACTTTGCAATCTCCTACATCACCAGAAATAGCTGCAACATGGAGTCTAATGCTAAAGCCAGCCCTGTTATCACTGCCTTCTCTTCCCATCAATTAGATCTTTCTCATATTCTGAAGAAACTGCAAGTGACAGAGTAATATGAATGAATGCCTATGTGAATGAATGAATGACTGACTAATCAATGAATAAATTTAAGAGAAAAAGATTTAAGAGAAAAATTAAGCAAAAGAAAGTAATTGTCCTTATTAATGTTTTCTCATTAAGATGATCTGTTGTAAAGATGAATTATTTGGAGGGGGGAAAGCCCTAATCTTCCTTTCAGGTACATAGAGTAACAGTTTGTAGTTAAAGGGTGTTGCAGATGTTTTCCAAACTCTTCATTAAATCTCCATGGCAACTTTTCCATAGAAAATACTCCAGAAGTGGCTGAGGACTGTTGGTGTTATGGTGGCAAACATCTGCCTTTTGCCAATATATACAACAAATGGGGAAAGTGTTGTAATATAGAGACACATTTTTATATCTTTTGGGATTGTTGGTCCCTTGCAACAATTAAAAATATATTAGTAAGAAATGGCAACATATATAGGTTTTAGAAAACTGGGCATCATATTTTGTTATAGTTAGGTTCACCCAAGAAACTGAAACCAGAGAATTCACACTGGTTGGATGCATAGACCTCAGAAGACAAAATATGTTTGTTTTGGTTTGAGGCTAGTGTATTCTGTGAACTCAGGGATTGTGGTCTGTAAACTAAGCAATTTTCTCAGCGAAGACTCTCACAGACATGGCACCGGGGCTTGAGGAATTGTTTTCCCATTCTGCAAAAAGAATGTAGGTAACTTTCAACAAGGCCACTGTTTAGAAATGTGAAGATGCAAAGAGAGCAGGAAAGCACACACTTTGCTACTCTTATCATCATGACCATGTTCAGTCACAATGACATTTCATCTTCCATCATTGTCACTCTGGGGTCTCTTCTTGCTTCATCTCCTGGAACACAAGACCAGGAACCAGAGGGAGGGCAATTTCATTCAGTGTCTCCAAGTTCAAGAGCCTCAGAAAACCTAAAGGATCCATCAGGCATTTAATGATTCTCCATCTCTGTAGAAGTGTGCCAACAGTCCACGTATTGACCAGAAAGTGATTTGACCACAGCAGAGGACTGATCACAACATTTTTTATCTTCATATCTTGCATCATCTGCTCTGAGGTGAAAATCAGATCTACCATGTGACCACCTATATGCATCAGGCCCGAGATCACCCAGAAACCAGTGGTTGCTATGGAGGCCATGAAACCCTGATCAGTTTGTCCTAAGTGACCATAGCAGCAAAGAAAACAGAAATCTCCACCCGTTTCTTCCTTGGTGTTTCCCCTTTTATCCAGCATCGGCTCTGAGTTGGCTCCTGCCTCATTTCTCTAACTGTACCAGGCTAAAAAAGGTATTCCTGAAAAGGAGCAAACATGATGGGATCTGTGAATAAACTCAATAGGATTTAATCATGTGCAGTTACAAACAGCATTGGCCCTGCAGCTGTACCCTCAGCAATAGCATAGTATATAAACATAAGCAGATTATAATTGTTTTTTCCTTGCTCTGAAAAACTTTGCTTGGTAATGTTGGTGCCAATACAAAGCAGAATGGAAGATCAGGTCATATTTTCCCTTTTTATTTCACTGGCTTACAAAGAAAATACTAAGAAAATCGGCGCCATCAAATGTGGAAAGTTCTGTGAGAGATGTCTAAGTGTTTAAAGGAGCCATCCTTTTCACAGTAAGCTACTGTTATCTGAGTTTGTTCTGGATCAGTGAACATCACTAGGCCTAGCATATTAGTCTGCTTCTATTTGCTAAATCATCATGCACTTTGTTGGAATCTGGCTTAGTACATTGTGTGAAGTTAGCCACTGTGGCTTCTAAAACATGGTTTATAGCTTACTTGAGGTGTGAACTCAGCCAATTGTGACTTATTGAACAAACCATGTTCAAACAAACCATGTCTGAATATACTATGTAAACCACAGCAGGTGAGACAAATTTAAGCAGGGCTTATCCAAACCAGCCATCATTATCTGAGTTATATAACATGCTGTTACAGACCACATTTTACAGACCATGTTTTACACACCGAGAGGGTTGGGTTCACATAGCACATTAAGCCAAAACTGAACAAACTGCATTATAACTCAATGAAACATATGAACCCAACTCCTATTGCTCTTATTACAAGAGTGGCTCAGTTGATGGCATTATCTGCAGGGGTCAGATTTCCTTGAAGAGGCTGTCCCACATTCTTGCTTTGCTCACTGATTTGTTATGAGAGAGCAAGCAACACTCCCATTGGTTCTGTGCTCTGTCGGTTGGATGGCTTGGTCTTCATCTGATGAATAAATAAGCTGAAACTGGAACTGGCTATTCTACCTTACAGGAGTTTCTGTGCATAGCTGAAGACCATCTTGAAACCTCATCCTAAGAGAATGTAAGTATCTTCTAAGTATTGTGAGATTTGTATTGTTGTTGTTAAGAAGGATGTGTTCATGTATAACATTAGTGAGGATATTGGCTATGTGAACATGGAGTGCCAGTTTCACCTTCTCTTTTATCTCCAGAATTTCTAAGTGAATTCACAGAACACATATAAGCCATCATGTAGTCTGTTTGTTAGCAAATTGTGTGAATTCAACTTGTGGAATATATACACCTGAGTTTATGGCTTAGTAAAGCTAGTGTTGATTTATTCAATAAATTCTGTTTAAAGAAATCAACTTTATATGTTGCATTTTATCATTAATTTTTACTAGATTATATTTTTTGTACCTTACTGTAATATAAGACTACATGTCTTTTAGATGTTTTCTATATAGAACAATTAACCATATTTTAAACTAGTTAAGCAACATTGCTTTTACATGTTTAAAGCTAAAAGCTTCTAATCATAAAGCAAGGTCACAACTCATAAAAGGAATCACTGCTTAGATTCATGCACTATATTAAGCCATGTTTTGCTTAACTCTATGAAATAAGCCATAATTGTGGGTTCCTGCCCAAAGCTAAACTGTAAATTGTGATTTGCAAGATACAACAGTAGCTTTATATAAGTCAAAACCAAATAACCTACATTATGGCTTAGTATTATATAAGGAAACTAGTTAATTGGAGTCATCCATCACACTAAGCTATAATCTGGTTTAATTGGTTTTGCATTAGCATAATGTGTGAACCCAACTGAGGCTTATTCAATTAAACTCTTGCTTGGTGTGATACATGAACTTCTGAGAGTATAAAACTACCATTTCCATGGTCTTTACTAGCTTCTTGACATCTCAAATCTTTGAGATTGCTTTTAACAATGACAAATATTTCTTTTTAGAAATAAAGTAAATGAACTCAACACTGACATGGTGGTAAAAGAGAAGGGAAAGTTAGGTTGTCCATTTCTTAAACTTTGCAGCTAGAACTAAACACAGCTCACCTGGATGTGGAATAACATAAGGTAAAGTTGAGTTTGACCCCTGAGAACTACATGGGCACACCTATGTTGGTTCCTTGGTAGTTATCTTCTGGGATTTTTTTCTTTCCAGTCTAGACTCCACACCTCAACCATTTCTGATGCTGCTCAGCCTTTTTTTCCCTCAAGATCACAACAAATTATTACTTTAATTTCCAAAGACACCAAAAAGAAAATTCCACTAAAAAGTGATGGGAAAGAAGAATGAAGTACAGTAATAGGCCTGCCACCTGTTCTTTAGCAGGCCTCCCACACAACTGTAAGGTAGCTCCACAACTGTGTCATCCCCTTCTCTGCATCTCCTGGTTGGGAAAAGCTACACATATTGAGCTGTTGCCTATTGCATTTCTCTTAGCAGGATGGAAGGTGGAGGCAAGAGTCATAGAGGAAGAGTGTCATCAATGCTCCTCTTGGGTTACAGGTGCTACTAAGGGATATTTCTGTTCTTCCAGGCTAGAACATCCAGTGACTCCTAGGAATAATGAGGGATACTCTTCAACTATGGAAAATAATGAAAAACAGCAGGTAGGTTTGTCCTTGGCAGGTATGAACTAATGGATGAGTAATCCTAGTAGACATCTGTATGGCATTTAGATTGGGTAATAAATTTCAGGGCTAATTTGGGTTTAATGCCAAAGTAATATTTAATGTGATAGAAGCAGAATGTTTTATGCAGAAGGTGCAACTATACTATTTTAATTAAAGGCAATTAATTTTTCTTGGTGCCAGTTAATTTTTTGAGTGTTATTCCCCAACCCATCATTCAAAGGTCAGGTCTTTTTGCCCCAAAGGCTCTATAAGCATGAAACACTCCCAAAGCGCATGAAGCAGCCTGTTCCACTCTTGAAACAATTAAGCACATCTGACCGCTCATGGTTTGAAATTTTACTTCTTGTAAAATGTAGGGCTAGAGCTAGTTGGTGTAGTGGTTAAGGCATCAGGCTAGAAACTGAGTTCTAGTCCTGCTTTAGGCACAAAGCCAGCTGGGGGACCTTGGGCAAGTCTCTCTCAGCCCTAGGAAAGAGGCGGCAAGGGCAAATCACTTCTGAAATCTCGCCAAGAAAACTGCAGGGCCTATCCAGGCAGTTGCCAGGAGTCAAGACTGACCTGAAGGCAACCCCAAAATGTTGTGCTACCAGATCTGGGTTGCAAAACTTAAGGTAACCACTAGATGGCAGTGAAAAGAGAAGACCCTGAGTCTGGAGCTCCTCTGAGTCTTTGCAGCCTATATCTGAGCCCTGTAATGTGCAAGGCAGAAGGGATGGCCTGTCCTAAGTCTGTCCTTTTGACCTGGAATGCCAGCAGTTTTTCCTAGGATTTGTGTGCTATTTCTCTCCCATTCTGCAATGAGAGCTTTCCTACGTACTTGTGCCAGAACGTACTAAACCTAATACTGGCAAACAAGGCTTGTTGAATCCCCTGGCTTTGCCATCTTTAGATGGAGGGCCTTTTGCACAGAATAGGTAGGCAACCTTTTGGGGTGGGGGCATGTTTTAGCATGTGGAGAGCAAGGAGTGGGCATACTCACAAAATGGCTGCCACAGGAAGATTGCCTATTCATCAAATGCCTGCCGTGGTGTGGGTGTGGCCAGTTGCAAAACATCCATGGGTCAAAAGCTGAGTAGCTCCTTCAAGAAACTCACTCCCATCCCTATAATACCTTTATGTGATGCAAAAGGGGAGGGGTGCTTCTTCATAAATGTGATGCTGGAGTTTTTCTTGTAGCATGCCAGCTTTCCATTTAACTTGTTTAATTTGCAGCACTTAAAAAAAAAAAAAAAAAAAAGTCCCATGGACAAAAGCCTCACAGATACCAAGGATGGTATCTGAGGACATATCAGTGCCAGTGGGCATTATGTGACCACTCTGAGTCATAGAAAGCATGTGTTTTCCTTTGGTGCTAATGTATGTTGAATATTTGAGACACTAAAGAATTCATTAGGCTATTCTATGTTGTGGTTTAATTAGTTTAATTCTGAAGTATAATGTATTAGTACTTGGTGTAATATTCTATTGTATGTTTTTAGTGCCTAGGCCCACAAATGCTAAAATGCTATGTACGATCTAGTGTTGTTGGGGAGAAAGATTGTCTGAAGGAAATGCTAGCATACTTGTGTCCAAACCAGCCTTCATCAACTGTGTGCCTTGTAGGGTTTTGGGATTACAACTCCCAGAATTTCCTGCTAGCAGGGTGACTGGTCCCATAGGCTGGGAGTTGTAGTCCCAGCACACGTGGAGGTTGTTCAAGAAAACCTTGTCTTTGTAAGTTTTGGCCATGGGCACAGTTGAGTATTAGATTCACTTTACTAACCTTCTCTCCATCGTACCAAAAGGATGTTCTTTCAAGAGCTACCAACCTACCTCTTGTCAGCTCTGCTTATGAAATGGCAGCTTTGGCTTATTCCTCAACTAAGGAGAACCACCCCTATGTTAAAGTAGTCTTGGATTTGGCAGAGAAGGGGGTGAAGCATGTCTCTGAGATGGCTGTGAATGGTGCCCAACCTTTTCTGAGTAAACTTGAGCCCCAAGGTAAGACGCTGCCATCATTCCCAAGTTTTTCTTTGTAGAAAGAGACAGGCAAGTCTTTGGGGTACCTCACAGGATCATCATTTTTACTGTAGGTTTTGGGACTGGTTCACATACGTAGTGATTCTGAGGAATTCCATTTGTTGGCATATATGTGTTGCTGGAGTCCTGCATACATCTCAACAGTGGGACCAATGACCCAGAAAAGTAGTTGACTCTCCTTCATTGGGACGTTTTCCAGGTCAGATTAGATAGCCCCCTTTAATGTGGATTTCTGCACTAAGCAGAGGCCAGACTTGAGAGCTTCAGTGACTCTTTACAACTCTATTTTATTTATTTAATAGACTTGTCCCTGCCCATCTCCCCACAATGGGGGACTCTGGGCGGCTTACAACATTTACAACTCTATTTTATTTATTTAATAGACTTGTCCCTGCCCATCTCCCCACAATGGGGGACTCTGGGCGGCTTACAACATTTACAACTCTATTTTATTTATTTAATAGACTTGTCCCTGCCCATCTCCCCACAATGGGGGACTCTGGGCGGCTTACAACAAATTAAAATCAGAAGTACATGATTAAAAGTTATAAAAAAAACCACACTTAACCAGATCCTAGAGTTATCTTTGTACCTCTTTTCTATTCAGTATGGAGATTGTCCCAGAGAATCTGTACTTAGCCATGGATATTATCATTCCTGTCATTTCAGTGATGCTTTTTCATGATATCAGAATTGTAGAAATTGCTGTAATGCTATATAAATGTGTGTTAGAATATAACATTTCTTGAAAGGATGGAAATATGACTCCGGGTCCACATATCCACCTGGAATAATCTTTCTGTAGACTTCAAGGCAATTTAATTTGGGGAAGCTTGTGCCATGAGAAATGTAAATAGAATTTAATAATGGGAAAAGGAAGACTCAATTGGAACAACAAATTATTTAGTGATCAGAATTCTGAAGATATTTTTGGGTATTAAGTCAAGAGACTTGCAACCTGTAAGCTAAAGACAGCATCTCTGTAGTTTCAGTAGCTAGCCACTATGCCTCCAAGGGTTTGGATAAGCTGGAGGAGAAGCTACCATTCCTCCATCAGACAGCTGACCAGGTAAATTGAGCTTATTTTACTTCTGTCTCTTAACATTATTGATGATGGGTATAAGTCTCCTGGTGTCCTCTAGAAGTTTGGGATGCACACTGGTGTCTTATTCAATATGGCCTTTGATTGGGGATTCTGGGCGTAGTGCTCTAATGTTCTGGAGGGTGCTTGGTTATTTTCTGGGGGGGGAAATCCAAAAATGCTTTGTGGTGTAAAATTAGAAGCCTCCTTCTCATGGGATGAGAACTTGTGTGAGATCTGATTTCAGCACTGTATTAACTAATTTGATAGTTTGGAACAGAGCAGCAGTTGGGGGAATAACTATAAAGTAAGCTGAGTCTAAAGAGCAATGGATGAACACATTGCTTGTTTTCTAAATGTACCATTCTGATCACCCAAGACTTCGATTTTCTGCCTACCCAGAATAATTAGGGGAATAATTGTTAGAACTGCATTACCTCCAGCTCCCAAGACAGTGAGTGTTGCTGCTTGTTTAATGGTATCTCTGTAGGTTATTTCTGAGACACAGGAATTGGTGTCATCCAAAGTAGCAGATGCCAAAGAAGCAGTAGCCAAGGCTGTACAAGATGGCAAAGAGATGATCATAGACACAAGAATGGGTAAACTTGCCATGAGTGGGGTAGAAGTAGTACTGGAGAAATCGGAGGAGTTGTTGGACCACTATCTGCCAATGACGTACGAAGAACTTGGTAAGCAAGGACCCTTATCCCCATCATCTCCAGTCTGGTGCCTATGAGCTCCATTTTGCCCATAGAGACTTAGCATTTGCAATGCTCCCAGCCTCACCCAATATTTTAAAAAGATAGAGCTAAAAATTAAAAAAGCTTGTCACCAAGCACCAACCTCAAACATCAGCTTTATTCTCAAGAATGCCTCTGTGCTCCGCATGGGTTTGATAGAGGATTTTTGGAAAATAATATGGCAGATGGATGCACCCTGGTTCCTTGTACAGGAGCCAGTGTGCTCAAAAGAGAAGGAAGCACCCAAGTACCCAAAGGTCAGAGGCTTCCCAGAGAGGTTGGCAAACAAGGAGCATTCTCTCTAGTGCCTTCTGTGACTGGATGCCTTGCCTTGAACTGGCCATACCAGGGCCACCAAGGTGTTTCCAGATTCTTCCCATGGGGCCCTTAACATTCCATCTCCCACCTGACTTACATTTTTTCATTTGATTAAAAAAAACTAGAATTCTGGAAAGCACTAGCCTCTAGCAAAAGCTTATTTGCAACAATGCTATGGGTCCTATCAAGAAGGTAAATACCACCTTGAGGGTCTCATTCACCTTCTGGTAACTGAGCACACTGTTTGACTGGCTATGCCTAGCAGGTGGTGACATGTGGCTGATCTTGTGTATGCTCTGATGCTAAGCAGGTTGGCTTTGGTTAGTACTTGGATGGGAAGCTGTCTAGGAACCCTAAGGCCTGAAGGTAGATTGGAGAGTAACCCCCCTCCCAAAATAACATGTGACTAACTACTTTTGTATCAGTGCTGTGTGGGTGTGTTCATGAAGTCACCAAGAGTCCAGCCTGAGTTGAAGATTTTACTTAAATGTGTCATGCTTACCATGCCAGCCATTTTATGAGCATGTCCTTCACATCCACATTGGGAATATTGAGAGCCCTAGCCTGGCTATGCCCGTATGCCAGACAGTTTGTGAAGCCTTTCCTTGACAACCCATAAAATACCAAATATTCCTAGAAATCCAAGAAGTAGGCAACTCTGGATTATCCAGTCTATTCTCTTTATTGCAATCCATGGTACACTTGCCGCTTTGATTTTATTTATAGAACTTCTGTCCTTGAGCTAGGAGCTTGCTTCAGTACCATTAGCTTCTAGTTAGGCTTCTTCACTCTACCCACGATCGTGTCTGTATTCCAGGATCTTTTTTGAATATTGCCTTTTCTAAAAGGCCATACTTGGAAAAGAAAATGGTTTCTATGTGTCTAAGCTTGAGTAGACGTTTCAGAGAAGTAATGTATTTAACTATACTCCACAGCGAAAATAGCAGAATCTACAGCAGAAGGGATCCATACAACAGATGAATCTCAGGGTTATTTTGTGCAGCTTGGCTCCCTATCAACTAAGCTCCAGCATCGTGCCTATCAGCATGCTGTAGAGAAAATGAAAGCTGCCAGAGAACACATTCAAAATACATTCAACCAGCTACGTCAAGCCATTGGGCAGGTAGGAGAATTCAGATCCAGACTCAAAGTTTTTATTGGATATGGAACAAAATGTTCTTCAGCCCAGCCCTGCTTAGCTACTTACACTTTGTGGAATAAGCAACTTATGCTCTTGGGGCATAGGAACAGTAAGTACACAGAAAGAACAAGTTGCCTTTTTCTGCCAGATCAACAGAATGTTGAAGGAACACTGTGTGAACATCTGGAGGGGAGCTTAGAAGTGTGCTGAGTCACAGCCAAGATGATCTATGCTCTGGTCATCTCACCTTGCTATGCATATGGGACATAATTTACTTAATGGAAATAAAGCAAAAGGCATGCTGTGCCAGAAAGATGGTGGTATGGGGTGCTTAAGATTAGATACCTAAACTTGACTTTTCTTACATCAAAATGCTTTGCCTTTACTTTTTCTTTGTTTGGAAAGTAGCATAGTATTTTATCTTTAACCCATATTGGTATCTTTGTGAATTGTTCAAGGCTGCCAGATCTCGTTCAAACAGAAGAAGCAGAAGACTCTGGCAAAAACAAAAATGTTTGCATCTGTTTATGTTGGGAGTGGAGACTGTAACTGATAAGCTTGTGTCTCCTTTTATTTATTTAGTGCTTTGAGATGTTGAAAGGGGATGGATAGCCTGTTCTGGTCATTAGCTTTCTGATGGCAAAGCAACTTGTGTCACCCTAAAGAATTCTGTGCTAAAATAATTCTTTGTTTTGTCCTCCAGATAGAACATATAAAGCAAGATAGCCATCAGAAACCCCAGGAAGAAAAGGAAAATCTCCAACAGGTATCGCTGGATTAAAGTCACAGTGAGACCAAGAAAACATGAGCGCTTGATGTAATAATGTAGACCCATTCTTGAGAAGCTAAAATATCTATTGGTTCATTCCTTTTCACAGATAGAATCTCATACCTTGGCTATGAGTTACCATGTCATCCAACAATTGCAGATGGCATACAAGAACTTGATTGGAAGCATCCAAGGTCTGCCTGGTATCTTCCAGCAGAATATTGAGTTGGCTCTCCACAGTATTGAGGAGCTTCAAGGTACCTTTACTGGCGCTCATTCTTTCAGAGATCTTTCTAGCAGCCTTTTGAGTCAAAGCAAGAAGACAGCTGGCAGGGCTGAGAAGTACGTAGATGACATCTTGGACTTTGTGTTGCAGGACACTCCGTTGTCCTGGCTTGTGGGACCCTTTGTTCCTGCACTCAAGAAAATCTCAGGTGGCCTGGAGCCTGAAAACCCTAATGAAAGGAAAGAGAAAACTTTGAAGCTAGAAGCTCCAAAGGAAACTCAGTGACTTAGTATTTATTCCAGATGGTGGTATGCAAATGGAGTGTACAAAAGCAGTTGTAAATTGTCAGGAAAAACTGAAGCTAACATGATTGAAATGATCCAGTCTTCCAAGATGTATCACAGTGGAGTGGGGAGCTCAACTATTTCTAAGGAAAGATACATGTTAGTTGATTTTCCTAAGGACTTCACCTTGAGAAATAAAATAACTGATTCATCTTGGTCTTGGTTCAGAAGCTTACTAAGTATACTGAATGGCACCAGTGTAACTTGACTCTTTATGGTTTGGAATAAATGTCATTGCACAAAAATATAGGTAATTGTTTGAAGTCTTAAGCGATAGTTTCTGCTTCAGGACCTCACTGTAGATAATAGCTATACACGCTATTGGATGGTGATTCTTTTCTAGAATCTTGATTTCACAAGGAGACGGTATATTTATGTGCTGGAAGTGGAGGATGTGATTGTGGTAAGAGAAGAGACAATGACATAGAAGGTTGAATTATGCATAGTATAGCTGAGATTGTTCATCATGCTAAGCCATAATGTGACTGCTTTAGGATGTTTACTGAATCTAGATCTTGGAAAGGTTTTTATAATTTAGGAAGTAGGCCAAAATAATTGGTGGAGAGATGTTTTTCAACTATATATGAAACTATCACAATTATGCCCAAATCCATGTGTAAATAAAATTATATGGACAATGCATATATTAGCAGACATGAAAATTCAAGGAAGATTTCATATAGATAGAGAATAGGTTGGAGTATGGTTGGGACAATGGTCAGGTTAGTCCATTCTATTCTTCTGAGAGCTTACTGAGTGTCCATTCTAACTTGTTGAGACAAGGGTTCTGATAGCTTTTCTGAAAGTGTTAATGTCTCTAGAAGTCTATCTGGGGAAGGATGGGAATTGCACACAGGGATAGTCAATGTTTTGCCCTATAGACAGTGTCACACTGTAATTTTCATCATTCCCCACTCTTGGCCATGCTTACTAGGGTTTGGAAGTTCACAAGATGCCCATTTGTACAACTTTCCTGATCATGTAGCTCAGATCTAAGAATACTCTACTACTACAGGAACCAATGATATGTACTCAGCAAGAAAAGGAACTTTATAGGGAAAATTGTTCTCTTCTAACAGTAAATGGGTAACTCAATTACTGCAGTGTAACAAAGTTTTCTCTTTAACAAGGAGTTATAATAGATAGGGACAGAGGCAATTGCATGTAATTTTGTGAAAATTAAGGTACTAATACCTGTGAGCAAGTCCACCTTTTGAAGTAGGGGACTCCTTGAAGTGAGTGGGTTTTCCTTTCCAGGTTTCCTACAAACCATGAAAATTAGCTTCCTATTAGCTAATATTTACTTCCTCCCTTATAGATTGTTGTCCCAAACTAATGATTCTTGGGATTTGTTGATGACCACTTCCTGATATATATTCTTCAGTTCCCAAATCAGAACTGATTCTAGCCAATGATTTCAATGTCTAGCTGGACCCAGAGGACTTCCTTTTCTCACTTTTTAATATTGTAAGCTCTCAGCCTGATAGCCCAGCTTGTTTTAGAATCTGCCATTCCAAGGAAAAATTAATAAGGAGAGGCAGAGGTTGACTCAACTGGCCATTAAATTCAACTTCTTGATTCTAAATATTTGGATGCCTGACGACTGCAAGGGGGAAGTTACTTTCTGGGCAGGAATGGGCATCAGCACAATTGTCTCGGTAGGAATTTTAGCCAAATTTCCCAACTGCTCTGCAGATTTTAAGGTAGTTTTCCATCCCTCCCTACTTACTGCAAGCTTTGCTTTTAATACCTTGATATGTAGGTAGGACAGATATAGACTCAGGCAATCTTCTCCATGCATAAGTGGACTGGTGATTTTCTAAGAGTAGTCTGACAGATTTTTAATATATCTAAAGCATCCCACCTTAAGCCATGCATGGATGATGTGAAGGATGTTTGTGAAGCCCTAAGCATTTGCCACCAAAAGATCAACCGCATGCTGGGACCTTTGAAGTCCATCATTGCTCCCAGTCAGAAAGCCATCCCTGTTCTCCAAACCTTGGTTTGATGAAGCATGCAATCTAGCCAAGGCTATGTTAGTTGAGGCATGAAGAGCCTTGACATGGAACAGTGAGCAGCATTCTCAAGATGTGCAGGGTGTTCTGAAAACCATACTGACAAAAGAGATTGATGCTCCAAATGGCCACTTAGGATAAGCTAAAACAACAGCCCCAGAAATAACCTCCCCTGTCTCCTGACACATTGTCACTTAAGCTCCAAAAGATCATTTAGGGTAGGGAGTTTGACCCTGACTGAGGCATGGATCAAGCATTTTTGTGAGGTATTTATCATGGAACCTCATGAACTGAGTTCACCAAGGATAGTTTTTGCCTCTCCCCCTAACCAGTCTCCTGCCTTTATCTTGGAGACCATCAAGCCCATTGCATAACTAAAAAATGGTAAAGTTGCCAGGGAGACTAAATTCCTGTGAAATTCCTAGAATCAAATCCTAACTGGAGGGCTCCATGCTGGCCTCCCTATTCTGTCATACTTTACAGATGCCTAAAAAGTGGTTCTATAACAATTCCAATCTTTTAAAAATCTGGTAGGTTCAACCTGGCTAACTTCCAATCAGTCATATTATTAAGGATTATAAGCCAATGATACTCTGGGCACTGTCACGTGATGTTTGGATGATCCAAAAGAAGGTGCTAGATGAGTGGCAACCTTGCTTTAGACTTGGCCAATCAATCTTTGATCGGTGTATTACATATATAACCTGGCAGAAAAATACTCTAGTTGTCCTCAAGATATTCTCTTAGCCATTTTTTTCTTTTAAATTGGGTGCCTTTGAGTCAGTCTTGACTCCTGGGGACTACATGGTCAAGTCCCTGCAGTTTACTTGGCAACATTTCTGGAAGTAATTTGTTTCTTCCTTGGGTTGAGAGAGAATGAGTGGCCCAAAGTCACTCAGCTGGCTTTGTGCCTAAGATCAGATTGGAACTCATGGACTCCCGGTTTCTAGCCCAGTGCTTTTAAACACTACACCAGACTGGCTCTCTTGCCACTTATGACTCCATCCCCCAAAAAAGGCCATGGAGGAAATTGGCAGCTGTACCCATATATTGCTGATTCCTCCAGTTCATCAGGATGCTGCCTGAGAATATCTATCTGCAGGCAAAGTGGTGCAATTGGAGGTCTTTCCGCACCAATCCCCACTTTAAAGGGAGTCAAGATAGGGTTGTATCCTTATCCCACATTGTTTCATGTTTATATTAACTCCATAGCTCAGCCACTCTTGTAATGAAAATGCCACCAATTTTAAACAATCCTGAATCCATCCTACTTTATGATGAGGTTAGTAATTTCCTGCTAAACTCAGATCACCCTTTACGGAGTCTCCAGACAGTACCAATATCCTGCCAGGATAAAAAATTAGACATCAGTTTTTACTCTATCTACCAATGTGCCAACTGCCAGTGCAATTAGAGCATTAATGACACTCAGATAGAACCAGTGATGTTTTTTTAAATATCTAGGAATTTATTTTCAATCTACTACTGCTTGCAAGTAACAAATTTGAGAAAGTATAACCCAGGCACAGGCTTCCCGTGTTGTAATTAGTCTTGAAAGTTGTAATGGTACCAGCATCATTCTTGCAGCAAACTATACAGAGTTAAGGTGCTAAGTCTACATAGCTTGCACTTTCAAAGATATAAAAGACTTAGAAGCAACTCAGTCAACATTTGTTAGAAATGGGCTTTGGGCTCCTTATCTGTGCCAGGTGCATTTGCTCTACTGAAATTGGGCTGTGCTTCTCTGGAGGTCCACATGAGAATTTTCTTGGGTGGCTTCATGGTTCCATCTTTGCTGATAAGTCTTCATTTGAAGGAGACGTCATTTTGTAACTGGTTTTGTCCACATAGCGCCATGCTGAGAATGGAAAAAATACACCCTTTTTTAGATACATTCTGAGTGTTGATAACATGGTCTCAACATTTCAAACATTTCCTTACCTGAAATTTGGGGAGCCCTGATTTAGATAATTCTCCAAATGTCCTCCCAAAGCGATGAGTCATCTCTCTTTGTATCGAGAAACTCTTTTACATGACCAAAACTTTTTTTTTTATGCAGCCTTTCTTAATTCTATGGAAAGAAAATCCACTTTAAGGAAATGAAACCAGGTGGAACATGGATTATGCCTGCTGTGTTCCCTTTCTCTCTGTGTTCAAGATACATCTACGTCTTGAAACCAGGAAAGACATTTCCTTGGCAAAAAGAGTGACGCCTTAAAGCGGATGTTCCAGAAAGAGTCTTTTATTTATTTCTTTAAAAATATTTTCAACATGCTTATACCAATGATTTCCCAAACAGCATGCGCCAAGTCACAGTGGTAGGCTTGGAAAGAACCATGAGAACTAATGAAACGTTCCTCAAAGACCGGTGGCCAACTCATTCAGGTTGGGTGGAGAGCTGAAGAGAGATCTTTTAAATATCACAGGATTACAAACTCTGCTCATAGGCAATAGTTTGGGAGAGGACATAGCTCATTGCTTGTTTATGGGGTTCGGTTTTCTCTGCCTTTCTTAAAAGTTTTTAGAATCACCAAATCTATCATGCAGGTCTGATATGTAGAAAACTGTAGAAGGGGGCAGATTGGTGGCAGAATTTATTTTTCCAGTAATCTAACGAAGTAGGATTAGTATTGTAGAGGTATGGTATTTTTCTCCCATTGTAACTATGGTTATGATTATAGGGTTATCGTTCCACATGACACACACTAAAAAAGGGGTAGACTTTGATTGCCCGTTCATGGGCGCCATTTTGACTTTTTAGGGCCCCTCCCCCAATGTCCCTGCTCTGTGGTAACCTGTGGATGTAAGAAAAAAAATTGAATCACTGACGTAAGGCATCTATAATTAAGCTTTCCCAATTTTTCAAGGTCAATAATTTAATAGCACTTTAATCCAGAGTGAGATTGCCGTTTTGTGGAAGGCATTT